CAAATTTTTAACCCCAATTGGTCCAAACACATCCACGCCAAGAAAACGAAAACCAAAAGATCGTAAAAGGTTTCAAAACACCAACTGCTTTACCAAGTTATGAATTCATGAAATTGAGTTTGGTCAACAATTCAAAAAAAGAATCGTTCTTATTTTTTACTCTTTCTTGATTGAGTTTCAAAGTGTCTTGATAATTTTTCTCGAGCAACTTGTGCAGCTCGACGACTCTTTCTGGTGGTGGAGTTGTTGGTGGTGTTATTGGTGTCGGTAGTGTTGTTGGTGTCGGTAGTGTCTTTATACTTATTCCTTTTTGGTTCTAACTTTGGTGGAAAGGAGGGGGTGGGGTGGTGATTGCGATGTTTGTGGTGGTGGTGGTGGTGGTGGTGGTGGTGTTAGGGTTAGGGTTAGGGTTAGGGTTATCGGTTCTTGGTTTCTTATTGTGAACGCCGGCATTGTCGTTCTCGAATTTTCTTTTTGTGGAGTTGTTGGTGGTGTTATTGGTGGAGGTGGTGGTGTTGGGGTTTTCGATTATTTCCTTATTGCGAACGTAGTCAAGTGCATCTTCATAACTTTCAAATTGGCTCAACGATTCCATAGTAACTAACAAAGAAGTGGTGTTTGTCGTTGTTGTTATTATTATTAGCTTCGTTGTTATTAAATTCCTGATTTCTTCTCATCGCATCGTGTTCTTCATTAAATTGATTCATTGACGAGTTAAAATGGCGATGCATATTCCTAAATCGCTTAAAATTATCTGTTGAGTTATTATAATTATCATCCTCGATGATAATCATAGCATCCTCTCTAATTAAATTAGAAGTGGTTTTATTGTTATTAGAGTTCATTTTGTGTTATTGTTATTAGAGTTTATTTTCTTATACGTAATATACGTATCGTAAAAGAATAGTCGAACATACGTATATATATCGATATGGTTTACGAGATTTTAAGATATTCACAACAAGACATTTGTTTACCTTTGTCTATCTTTAATAAGTATTCAATCATAAAAGGAAATTTCGACGATCTTTTGTAGTTTTTCACATTCATGTGGCTTTTTTGCGTGCAATTTCTTTTTTAAGAACTAATCAAATATATTTACTCAAATGCGTTGTATTAAAACCATATCGATATCGATATAATATAATAACGACATACATAATATATAATCTAACTATTGAGAACCTACTAGTATTTGAAGGAAATCAGCTGAATTGGTTCAAATTTTATAATATAGTTTTATTTTATGATTATAACCAAATTTCCCAGTGAAATAAAAAATATATAACAAAGCGGAGCGGTTTTAGTGTTTGAGTTTTTTAGATTATCCCCGTACTTATTATTCCATTCACGTTTATTTTACTATTGGCAGTAGTCTTTTTTTTCCACTCTATAACGGTTAATATCGTTATCAATAATACACGATGCAAATGATTAGAGATTCTGCTATCTCGTTAGTCATCTTTTTGATTAAAAAGCTTTTTTTAATAACCTGTTTC